TTCATGCTTCTTCAACCAAGACTTGAGGCCTATAAAGGGCAGCCGAGGCCCCTTCTTTTCTTGCCTTCTACAACACTTTCCTCTCCAGATCTGAGTTTCACGCGCGTTTTCCAACGCCCCGTGTAAATTGTTTCCGCAAAAACACTCAGTTTCAAGCACTTTGAAGCGATTAAATTCCAGCTTGGGAGCTTCTTTTTGCATTTTCGCCACTTGAGGTAAGTTTGTCTCAATATTTGGAATATTTTTTGGGAGTTGACTTTTGTTGACTTTTTTCAATTTTGGCCCATTTTGCTCATTTCTGCTCCCTTTTACAGATTCTTTGAAAATGTCGGGTAATTCTCCCCACGGCGGAGGTTTTCCAGGTGCCGGCGATGATTTCGATCCCATGACTCAACCCCCGAGGACCCGACCTTTCATTCCCGGGAGGTACCGTCCGCCAGCACATGTTTTTCCGCGCGCTGTCTTCCGTCACTTTACCAGTTTTGACGAGCGAGCACCCGGGGATTTGCTTCTCAGAGAGCCGGAGCAGCATCTCTCTCACGAGGCCCGAGAGGTATTTATCTCATCTTCTGTATTTTACATTTCGCACCTTTGCCATGCTTGAACATGCAGTTTAGCTTATGACATAGTACTTTGCTTGCATCTTGAACATGTAATTTCAACATTCGAATTTCTGAACACTCGGCTCATTAATTAATTGCGAACACACAGCCCACATTAGAACACACGGCTCAAACACTGATTTGTCGAACACACAGCCCGGATTTGAAAGTGAACACACAGCCCACACTTCAAATTTTCTGAACACGCAGCCCAGATTAGATAGTGAACACGCAGCCCACACTAGTTGAAATTTTGAACACGCAGCCCAAACTTCAAATTCTCTGAACACGCAGCCCAGATAGATAGTGAACACGCAGCCCACATTTTAACTGAAAGTTGAACACGCAGCCCAAACTTCAAATTTTCTGAACACGCAGCCCACATTTTAACTGAAAATTGAACACGCAGCCCAAACTTCAAATTTTCTGAACACGCAGCCCACATAGATAGTGAACACGCAGCCCACAATTTTAACTGAAAGTTGAACACGGAGCCCAAACTTCAAATTCTCTGAACACGCAGCCCAGATAGATAGCGAACACGCAGCCCACAATTTTAACTGAAAGTTGAACACGCAGCCCAAACTTCAAATTTTCTGAACACGCAGCCCAGATAGATAGTGAACGCAGCCCACATTTTAACTGAAAGTTGAACACGCAGCCCAAACTTCAAATTTTCTGAACACGCAGCCCATTCATTTCATTGGCACGCAGCCCATTCATTTCATTGGCACACAGCCCATTTCATTTCATTGGCACACAGCCCATTTCATTTCATTGGCGCACAGCCCATTTCATTTCATTGGCACACAGCCCATTCATTTCATTGGCACACAGCCCATTTCATTTCATTAGCGCATAACCCATTTCATTTCATTGGCACACAGCCCATTTCATTTCATTGGCACACAGCCCATTTCATTTCATTATTGACACATGTATTCATTCTGAATGCAGGTTGGTTCCCGCAGTGTGCGAGGGTACGGTTCCACCATCGCACAGGACTGGTACGCCGAGCTCCCGGAGGGTGTCCGGGATTTGGTAGATTTGGCAGGATTCGGGCCTTTCTGCGTCGGGTTGTCACGTTGTCCTGCCAGGAGGACACTGATGGCAGCCTTGGTAGAGAGATGGTGGGACACCACCAACTCCTTTCATTTCTCTACTACCGGGGATATGACCATGACCCCTTTTGACTTCGCTGTATTGACCGGCTTAGACGTCGGAGGTTGGTCCATCCCCTACAATGAGGATATGGGCGAGTGGGAGGCCGTCTGGATGTATCTATTGGGGGCTCACCCACATGTTGACAGGGTCTCTGGGAGAGTCCGATACACTTGGTTCTCTTCCCATTTCCGGCGGGCGGAGATGGTGCCTGAGACTCCTGAGGAGACAGAGCAGTATGCCCGTGGTTTCCTGATGTTCCTCTTCGGGACTACCCTGTTCGCCGACAGAGGGAACACCATTGGGCTATATCTGCTGAGCGCTCTAGTCGACCTATCACAGGTCAGTAGATATGATTGGGGTGGCGCTGGCCTGGCTACCCTCTACTTTTACATGAGCGCGACCTCCCGCGGGCGGGGCGATTTGCTTGGCGGCTACTGGAGAGCTTGGGAGGTACTTTCTGTCCCCTTGATTTACATTTCTGCTTCTCAATACTTGTACATTGCACACACAGTGCACTTTTACAGTCTGCATTTTGCTCTCATCATTTCGTACTTACATTCTGCACTGCTTTTTTCAGCTATGGGCTTACGTATACTTCCCATCGTTAGCCCCAGTGCTGGAAGTGGTGGGGATTCCCGTGACCCCTTATTCATTGATATTTGAGGGCCCGCATCGGGCGAGGCCTCGAGAGACCTTGGTTCGCCTGCGACAGTATTTCGACACTGTGCGACACTCAGAGGTACTTCAGAACTTTCAGTTCTCTTCATTTTCATCTTTGACTTGCTCTGTATATTCTCGACTTCTGATTGGTTTATGCATTCATCATCCGCAGATTACTTGGCAGCCTTGGGCACCCCTGGGTGATGATCTCCTACTCCAGTATACCAGAGCGTCAGGCATCTCCCGGTATAGGGTCCTGCTCGAAGGGCCAGTCGGCAGAGTCTGGTTCCTGGGGGAGCGCTTTCTGTGCCAGGTACGGGGGTATCTTTCTCAGGATGTTCCCGCGGTACCTCCAGCTAGTATGCGGACCGCTGACAGGCTCTCTTACTCAGAGGTAGTCGGCGCCATGCTGGGCAGCGATGCTTTGCTATATGTTGCGGAGGGGGACTACGCCACCTATCGTCACATATATTTGATGCCTCCATTGACAGAAGCTCGTATTCCGATGATGAGCCCTGCCGGTATGTCGTCCTCGGATCAGGCTCAGGCTCGGGCTACAGACATCCCTTCTTCTAGCAGGGCTGGCGCATCTAGAGGTGGGAGTAGACCGTTTCCTCCGAACCCGTCGATTCATCCTCATCTGGGATGGCCGGGCTGGCACATCTAGAGGTGGGAGTAGACCGTTTCCTCCGACCCCGTCGATTCATCCTCATGTCGGATGGCCAGATATGCCTACTGAGTTGATGGCATGGCAGTATGGGACTAGCTCTCCGACCCCGATCCCACTAGAGCCTCCGATGCCCAGTGATCGATACGCCATTGATCCGGACTCACCGCCGGTATGCTCCACTTTTCATTCATCACTCAGATGTTTAGACATTCTTCTGTTTACTGATGACTATGAACTCATTTTTGCAGCCATCGCGAGGGTACATAGAGGAGGTGGTTGGACTGGTGGCCACACTCGAGGGCATGGTCCTGCGCAGGGAGGCACAGTTGTCCGTTGCAGGCATTCAGGTACCTTTCAGTTTTCTGGTATTTATCATACTTCTGATGACATGCTGATTTCTACTGCATCGATAGACTACTTGTGTAGAGCACATCTGCCACATACCCCCACTTGTACACTGTATTTACACGCACCCACTGTCGATAGACTACTTGTGTAGAGCACATCTGATACACACCCCACTTGTACACTGTATTTACATGCACCCACTTCACGTAGTCTTTGCTTGTATCTGCATCTGATGTATACATTTGGACTGATGTTTTTGAATTGAACTCTTTGTTTTCAGATGCCTTCATGGTCCGGTCAGCCGCAGGCCAGGCCGCCTGGGCCTCATTGGGGAGCTGGGCCATCTGAGCCTTTTCAGGGGGTGGGGTCATCTCGGCCTTCCCGAGGAGCCGGGCCATCTAGGCCTTATCGAGGAGCTCGAGGAGGGCCTGTCCGCAGACGCAGGACTCACGTTGTGGAGGTGGAGCCTGATGAGGAGGAGGAGGAGGAGGAGGAGGATACCGACCGTCAGTTCGAGACATCTGTTGAGGAGGGAGGCTCCGGTTTTGGCTCGGGGAACAGAGGCGAGGCTGAGGAGGATCCTGAGGATGACAGCTGAGGAGGAAGAGGAGGCCGAGGGGGATCCTGAGGATGACGGCTCCGACTCAGATGATGATGATGGTACGGAGATTGCCCCGCAGAAGAGGATGAGGCATGCTTCTCGTTCCCGCTCCCGAGGATTTTGATGCTGCTATTTCCTGCTTTATTTTTCTTTTACTAGTAGTTTGTAGCACTTTGCACATCGTTAGGTAGTTTTATTTTTTGTAAAACTTGTGCCTTTGTTGGTTGTAAAGCATGATGAAATGAAATAGCTTTTGGAAAGGTGTTTGTATTTTGAACTTTTAGCATCGTATCGCACCAACTTATTTTGCACAAAAATGAGATTGAATGGTAATGCGCAATGTGTAATCACCAAGTCAGGTAGTGAACCGACGCAACAAACTAAACAACTCAACTTACTAAGATATAACAGAATCTTTAGCAAGTTTACAACTCGATAAGCAAAATGCGACAACACAAACAAACAAGACTTTAACAAAAATTGCTTAAACAGAGAGCAATGACTCAAAAACACGAAATACGTCTGCTCGACGAACAACTCGATAAGCAAAACAACAACTCGATAAGCAAAACTCAACAACAAAAAGAGCGTACTTCTGACGATCTGGCCATCGGAACGCATCCGAAACAGAGAGAGATGAAGGTCTTTGACTCCCCCGTTGTATGGAAATGCTTGGAACTTTCCCTCGAAGAGTAAAACAGGGCCAATGAGATACACTGCAGCATTGCCGGCCCTCCTTGGGAGCCAAGTAAATGCTCCTACTTTCAGTTGCACTTTGTCTGATGAGTGCTTGGATTGGCTCAATGAGGAGGCACAGGTTGGGCCTAGCTTGGCATCAGATGCTTCGTCCAGCTCTGAAGCATGCAAAACTCTTACCCGGGTCATGGACTTGATCGAGGACTTCACCAGCCGGGTGTCGGATACGTGATCGCTGTAGACCACGTCGCTCGGCAGTAGGAGGGCTTTTGTCAGGTCGAAGGCTAGGAGGTGTTCCTTGTCGCCTTTGACCGAGGCGGGAAAGCCAAAGGAAAATGGGCCGAGGAACTCTCAAGTGTCCTTTGGGTATATCGGACAACCCCGAGGCGATCCACTGGAAAAACTCCTTTTGCCCTAGCGTACGGCATGGAGGCGGTCATCCCATTGGAAATCGGCATGCCCACCATCCGCAGTGAAAATTTTGAGCCTGAGTTGAACTCTGAAGCAGTCGCCCTGGAATTGGACCTAGCTGACGAGCACTGAGAAAAAGTTTTGCTCCACGTAGCCGCATACCAACAAGAATTGTCCAGGAAATACAACAAAACAGTGCACCCAGACCGTTTAAAGTGGGTGATTGGGTCCTAAGAAAGGTCATGGGCAACACACTAGTGCCGGGTGAAGGCAAGCTAAGGGCAAACTGGGAAGGGCCTTACAGGATAACCGGTCTGGCGGGTAAGGGGGCATACCACTTAGAAGATTTGGATGGCAAAGGCGTACCCCGGCCATGGAATGCAGCTAACCTCAAACTATTATATTCTTATCGTTCTTAAGTAATTTTTTGAGGAAGAACTTGTTTCCCCTACACTTTTGAATGTGATACTCTCTTTGTCAATGTAATAGAAGTGAATTACTTTTGCTGAAGAACTTTTCTAATTCAGCCGGGATGATTTACTCCGGCCAAATGAGTTGATGTTTTGCTCAACTCTGAAGTTTTAGCTGAGATGATGTACTCCGGCCAAATGAGTTGATGATTTGCTCAACTCTAAAGTTTCAGCCGAGATGATGTACTCCGGCCAAATGAGTTGATGATTTGCTCAACTCTGAAGTTTCAGCCGAGATGATGTACTCCGGCCAAATGAGTTGATGATTTGCTGAACTCTGAAGTTTCAGCCGAGATGATGTACTTCGACCAAATGAGACTCTGAAGTTTCAGTCGAGATAATGTACTCCGGCCAAATGAGTTGATGATTTACTCAACTCTGAAGTTTCAGCCAAGATGATTTACTCCGGCCAAATGAGTTGATGATTTACTCAACTCTGAAGTTTCAGCCGAGATGGTTTACTCCGGCAAAAGGAGTTGATGTTTTGCTCAACTCAAGGCTCTAGCCGAGATGCTTTATCCCAGCAGGAAGCTCAGAGGCTAGCGGTGCGAACAACCGTGGAAGAGATCTAGGGAGTTTGGTTTTGGAAGACGTCAGTCAGAAGGCCGAGGAAAATGGGCAATTGACAATCATTTTGGTGGAAAGACTAGAGTTCCTTGCCGAGCTGATCTTGCTTTCCAAGAAAGAAGTCGCGGAGCTGACCTTGCTCGCCTTCTTTGGAGTTCCTTGCCGAGCTGATCTTGCTCGCCGAGAAGGAAGTCGCGGAGTGGACCTTGCTCGCCTTCATTGGAGTTCCTTGCCGAGCTGATCTTACTCGCCCAGAAAGAAGTCACGGAGTGGACCTGCTCGCCTTCATTGGAGTTCCTTGCCGAGCTGATCTTGCTCGCCAAGAAGGAAGTCGCGGAGCAGACCTTGCTCGTCTTCCTTGGAGTTCCTTCCCGAGCTGATCTTGCTCGGCAAGAAGGAAGTTGTAGAGCGGACCTTGCTCGCCTTATTTGGAGTTCCTTGCCGAGCTGATCTTGCTCACCAAGAAGGAAGTCGCGGAGCGGACCTTGCTCGCCTTCCTTGGAGTTCCTTGCTGAGCTGATTTTGCTCGCCAAGAAGGAAGTCGCGGAGCGAACCTTGCTCGCCTTCCTTGGAGTTCCTTGTCGAGCTGATCTTGCTCGCCAAGAAGGAAGTCGCGGAGTGGACCTTGCTCGCCTTCCTTGGAGTTCCTTGCCGAGCTGATGTTGCTCGCAAAGAAGGAAGTCGCGGAGCGGACCTTGCTTGCCTTCGTTGGAGTTCCTTGTCGAGCTGATCTTACTCACTGAGAAGGAAGTCGCAGAGCGGACCTTGCTCGCCTTCCTTGGAGTTCCTTGCCGAGCTGATCTTGCTCGCCGAGAAGGAAGTCGCGGAGCGGACCTTGCTCGCTTTCTTTGTAGTTCCTTGCCGAGCTGATCTTTCTCGCCGAGAAGGAAGTCACGGAGCGGACCTTGCTCGCCTTCTTTGTAGTTTTTTGCCGAGCTGACCTTGCTCGCCAAGAAGGAAGTCGCGGAGCGGACCTTGCTCGCCTTCTTTGTAGTTCTTTGCCGAGCTGATCTTGCTCGCTGAGAAGGAAGTTGCAGAGCAGACCTTGCTTGCCTTCTTTGTTGTTCTTTGCCGAGTTGACCTTGCTCGCCAAGAAGAAGTCGCGGAGCGGACCTTGCTCGCCTTCTTTGGAGTTCCTTACCGAGCTGATCATGCTCGCCGAGAAGGAAGTCGCGGAGCGGACCTTGCTCGCCTTCTTTGGAGTTCCTTGCCGAGCTGATCTTGCTCGCCAAGAAGGAAG